TTCCGGTCTCGGACGTCGCCGCGCGGCCGCGTCGGCGAGCCCAGTTGTCGCGCGCCCGAAGGTGCGTCCAAAGGTGCGCCCGCAGGAGTCATTTGTTCATTTTTGTTTCTGGTCGGTTTTGAATCTGGCTTTGAAATTGGTCGAGCGACATGCGCGATTTATCTTGGATTTGCGTCGCAGCTGTAGGCTCTCGCAGAAGATGAGCGACGCTCGTGAACGTTGCGTCGCCGAGGCGGCCTTTCCAGCGGCGGCGTCTGGAGCCGCGGATGCTCAGGTGCGGGGCGCGTTGGCCGCCGAACGCAAGCTACGCGCGCAAGACATGCGAGCGCAACGCGCGCGGACTCATTCATGCACTCCAGGGCAACCAACTGCGCGCCGATGCCCTCGCAGTGATCCCATCCACTCGGAGTGCCCAGGCTGCCGCGAGGAGAAGAAATGCGATCGCCCCGCGCGCGCTGCGAGCTCAGCGAGCGCAGGTTGCGGGCCCTCGCATCAGGCCGCGCCCGCGCGCCAGCCAACGCCCGCGAGCGCCAGCGCGGCCAGGAGGGCCGCGCCACTCCTGCGACCAGCAAGATCAGATACGTGGAGGAGCCGACTTCGGAGCAGCTGGCGAAGCTGCCCTGCCGCCGCTACCCTCGGGCACGCCAGGAGCCAGCTCGCACTCCAGTGCTAAGCTCAGAGCAGGGGTTCCGTCGACTGCGTTGCTGGACCGCAGAGTTCAGGCTCGGGCGATTGCATTGCCGGACCGAACGGCGACCGCCCGAGGGCGCCCGAAACGTCATGGACCCCGCGCGCGTCTCCAAGTAGAATCACCGGATGGACCCCGACGACAAGACAGCGCGAATCATCTGGCGCAGCATGGCGCCCAGAGGCTTCCGCGACATGGGCGCCGGCGCCCTGGAGACATTCGCGGAGGCAGCCGAGCGCGTCGCGCAGCGCGCGTTGTCCTCGGAGGCGGCGCGGCGCCGGGTCCGCGTCGCCGCGGACGTCGAAGAGGCGCGCCTGCAAGGCGCGGCGCGCGCCGAGGCGCAGGAACATGGCGCGGCGCCGCGCGCGGCGAATGTCCTCCCACCGCCCGGCAGCGCAGCTATCCACGGGCAGGCGCCTGGCTGCGAGTCCTTCGGCGAGAGGACCGAGCGCTTGCGCTGCGTCGAGCCGGGGGCGGGCTGCAAGGGCGCACCTCGGGCCTTCTCTACGAAATTTGCCCAGGTCACGTGCTCGCCAGGGTGGAGCCTAGAGCTCGAAATCAAGCGTGAAGCGCCCAGCAACTGCATTGTTGGCGATTCACATATTGTGCTCACGTTGTCCAAGCGCGTCGATGATCTGAAGATAGCTGCAAGGGATACGTCGGCAAGCTCATCGGCCATGCCGAGAGCGTCATCGGCATGATAAAGGGGGCTGCGACGACTTCACCAACAGCGGCGTTCGCCAACGCCGCGGCGACGACGGCGCCGCGACGCTCGACTGGGACGACGAGTACATCGACGCGCTGATACCGATCAGGCGCGTCGACCTGGCCAAGGCGAAGGCCGCCTATCTCACAGGAGGTCAACTACCCCACCTCTTCGTCTCCTTGCTAGCGCGCACAATCGCCACGTCGCAGCGCGCACTGCGGCGCGCACTGCGGCGCTGCAGCGGGCCAAGAAGAAGCTGGTTATACGACGCGCCATGCAGCTTAATTCTGCGGCCTTCACCACGCAACAGATCAAGGCTCGCGTCGCCTTCCCCGCCGTGGAACGCGTTGGCCATCTGCGCGCGCAGCGACGGGCCCTTCAAGAAGGGGGGGTGGGGGGGGGGCGGGGCGCGGCATGCGGGGCGGCGTCTACGCGCGCCTCGGCAAGCGCCGCAGCACCGGCCAGGAGGCCTGCCACTTGTTCGACGAGTGGGCCGCTCACACAGACTTGCGCGCAGGTCTCCGTTCGGCCCCGAGCTGCTCGCAGCGCGCGGCGCAGCTGGCGAATTGCAGGCTTGCCTCCTCGCGCCCCACGAGATGGTCCGCGGCCCAGTCTCAGCCGAGGAAATCTGGAAGCTGAGAGAGGAGGGAGGCTATGCCGCGCCGGCAACCCGGGTCGCGGTCGGGATGTCCGTCTTGGCGGCCATCGCCGTGGATCCTGCGCGTCCACCATCAGAAAACAGCACGGCAGGCCACCTACAGTGGCACCCCGACCAGCTCCGCACCCGGCGGATCACTGATCAGCCCAAGTGCGATACTCGCGATATCATGGCCGACCCCATGACGCGATGTGCAGGATGCTCAAGTCTCAAGAAAACACGCCCCATTCAGACTGAGCGACGGGAGGCACAAGAAGACAGCGCCCAGATCCCAGCACTGCGACCTCAAGACGGCTTGAGGAGAACGTTTTGCCGACGTGATAAGGAGCCAGAGGTTTCACTGCGCGTTCTCCGGTTGCAGAACGTCAGATCGGTGGTCGTATGTTGCGAACCTGTGTTCGCGAATGCGACATCGGGAAAAAGGCAAAGACAGCCGCGCGTCGTAAACTATTTTCGCCAATGCGACGTAGCAGGACACATGAAATAACGCCTGGATAAGGCGCACTACGTTCGCAAATGCGTCTTCGTAAGTCAAGCAATGGAGGGGTTGTTGCCATGAGCATTGTTCGTGGAGCAATTGATTTCTGGCGCACAACACGTTAATTATCTTACTTTGTTCCTCCGGTTGTCTGCTCCTCTTTTCGTTCTTCTTGCAACGTTGTACGAGGGGCCTGGTCCGTAGAAGGTCCCCGGTGAGACTTGCCTCCCATCGCGGAATGCATCGGCCTGCTTCCGGAGCTCCGCCGGTAGTAGATGTCGGTCGTTTTTAGCCTGCCGTTCAACAGTTGTTTTGGGGGCTGGCAATGTGGGGGCCAGGGGTGACGCGAAGTACGGCAGTTCCCGGGGCGTGCCGAAATCAGGGGTTCCTATCTCGCCGTCATTGTTCATGAGGTTTCATTGGTTGTGGCACGGCTTGCGTGTTGTAGCCGGTGGGGCACAAACCGATTTGTTTGAACACCAGGCTCGATGGGTAGCCCACGACCTGTTCCTGCATTCCTTCAGCCGCACAGTTGTCACGTTATTTCGAATCCCTTTAGACATTATTGACGCTTCGCGTATCCCCAGTGGGCAGTTTTTACGGTTTGCCTGATTAACACGCCCTCTGGACTTTTCGTTGCGGGCCGCGGAACAAAAAAGTATCCCCACCGGGGCGGCTGCTTTGTGAGTGGGCCGGCCGGCTAGCGGCGCGTCTTGTAGCTAATTACGCTTGCCCGTTGGCCCGGACACCCTGCTCGCCGCCTGCCTCTTCGGTCGCGGCCGCGACCAACAAAGTATCCCCACCGACCCATCCAGAAACGATGTCCAGGCGAGTTGAGGTGATCAGGGAAGTGCGGCAGCAAAGAGGGGGACGGCCGAACCGTGCAAAGAAGTGAGGAGGAGAAGGAGGAGGTGGATGGATGGATGGATGAGGGAGTGGGAAGAAGGATGATGAATAGAACGAGGGGGAGGAGGAGGAGGAGGAGGAGGAGGAGGAAGAGAAGGAGCAGGAGGAGGAAGGAGGAACAGGAAGAGGAGGAGGGCAAACACAAGGGCCAGAGGTCTCTTGGATGCCTCTCGAAGCCTCTTGGGGTATCTCTTGGGCGATTATTGGTGGCCTCTTGGGACGTTTTGGGGGTCTCCTGGCGGTCGTGGGGGGCTCTTCGGCGTCTTGGGTGCCTCGGGGGGGCCTCTTGGGGCCGCATGGGATCCTTTTGGGAGCCTCCTGGGGGCCGCTTGGGGACCTCTTGGGGCCATCTTGGGGCCATCTTGGGACCTCTTGGGGCCTCCTGGGCGTTTCTTGAGGCCATCTTGGAGGAGATCGATCAAACAAGAGGGGGAGTCCTTAATTAGCGTCCCCCCCAAGAGGCCAACATGGGGCCAAAACCTTAGTAAAACCAATGATTTGGGCATCCTCGCCGAGGCCGTTTTGGACGCTCCGACGACTCGCGAAACCCCCCGTCCAGGTCCAGGGGAGGGGGTAGGGGGAGGGGTCAAGACCCCCTCCCCGCCCGCAAGCTGTCTCGTTCACTCCCGCCCGCCCTCCCAACACATGCGTAGCACCCGAGTCTGGCCCGAGCGTCAGCATATTCAGCAGTCGTCTTTGGATGGGCAGCTACTGGGGGCCAATCCGCCGCCGCCTCCGCCGCCGCCGCCGCCGTTGCCGCTGCCGCCGCCGCCGCCGCCGCCCGCCGCTGCCCGCCGCCGCCGCCGCGCCGCCGCCGCCGCCGCCGCCGCCGCCGCCGCCCCCCGCTGCCAAACCGCCGCCGCAGCCGGTGCCGCCACCGCTACCGCCGCCGCCGCCGCCGCAGCCGCCGCCGCCGCCGCCAAGTGTACTCTGTATTGTTTTTTGACAGGGATGGTGGGGGGGGCCGCATCGGGTTGGCTGCGCATGTTCCGAATTTGGAAGCAGAGTGTGTTTTGTAGTGTTTTTGTTGCAAGGGATGGTGTGGGGGGTCGTCAAGGATTCGGGTTGGCCCCCAGTCGCCTGGGGGAGGGGGTGTTTATTAATAGGGAACAGTGATAAACCCATCCCCGAAGGGGAAAAAGGAGGGGTGGAAGAGGAAACGCTCCAAACCACTGACGCCAAGAGGGCTGGTGGGATTACATGTCGTTCCCGCGTCCCTTTTTCGGGTCGGTGGTGCGACAGGGTGGCCACGCGTAGAACCCGTGTTAATCGCGTGTTCGACATACCCAGTGTTCGTATCTGGTCACGCAGCAAGGGTACCCGTTATCGTACCATCCGTTTGCATAGTCTGGGGCGGAGAAGAAAGAGGAGGGGGAGGAGGAACATCTATCAGTTCGATCGCGCGCGTTACGCTCTTCTTGGGCCCCCACTGGATCGCCTTAGGACCCTGGGGACATCCGGAGATGTCCTGATACCTCCCAATGCCTTCCCCCCCCCGTTGGGGAGGATGGAGGAGGAGGAGGAGGAGGAGGAGGAGGAGGAGGAGGAGGTCTCCCGCACCTTCAGTAGTCGTTTTGGCTCAAGCCTCTCCCGCTCTGGCGCGACCACCTCCTTCGGCGAATGGGCCACCAGGGGCACGCCATGGTCCTGGAGGAGGAGCGCCCCAGAGAATCCGCTGCGCCCGGTGGTCCCGCGGAAGCCCCTACCAGTGCCGCCGCGGGCGCAAGGAACGACCGCGACGTGATGGGCAGGCTGGAGAGCCTCGAGGGGAGCGGCGGCAGCGAGATCAGCGACTCCGTGGCCGACAAGCTGCTGCAGACGCTCAGCCTGCTGGAGACAAACTACGAGCGCACCGTGGCCGCAGGGAGCGGGCGGGGCCGCGGGCCAGCCCATGAGGCGGAGGAGGGCGGTGGTGAAGATGCAGAGTGGGAGGAGGAAGAGTTCGCCGACGGCGCCTTCGCTCCAGCGGGCTATGCGGCCCTGGGTTCCGACGACGAGGGCAGCGAGGGCGCCGTGGAGACGTGGTTGGGGGCGGAGCATCGGGGGAACAGAAATGACTGAATCGACTACACGTAGGAGTGACCCTTCGCTGGAGTGACCTTTGGTGCGGGCCCAGTGGGGCTCCCCGATCGCTGAATGCGATGCGATAGCGGCCTGCGCCTGGGCTTGGCCCCCTCGCACCCTAAACAGCCGCGCTCCAAAGGTCGCTTGTGCCCTGGGTCGCTCTTGCGTGCAGCCGAGTAAACATAAAACGTTTGAAGGTCCGCGCGGACTTCTCGGCTCGGCGCTGGAGCCCCCTGGCGGCGCCTCCGGCGCCGCCCCTGGCGCACCAGGCAGAGGCCACCTGGCGCCGATCCTAGAAATCCGCGCTGGCCTCCAGAAGTTTGCGCTCGTGAGTGGTGTCAGTCTTCGCTCCCCGCGAGCAGGAGGGGCCCGCCGGCGAGGACGGAGGCCGCCCAGACGCGCCCGGCGAGGCGGCGGCCGCGCCGCTCGGCGGGGCGGCGGCCAGGCCGCGCGACGCGCGGGTGCCAGCGGGCGGCGAGGAGTTCGCCGACCTCGGCCGCAATACCGCGGCGCCGCCGCCTCCGCTGGGCGGCGGCGCCGGTGCAGATCTGGCCGACGGCGGCGAGGACTTCGCCGACTTCGGCCGCAACGCCGCGGCACCGCCGCCTCCAGGGCCCTCGGCCCTGTCCTCGGGGAGCAAAGAGCGACACAGGCACAGTCTTTCGGAGATCCGAGCGGGGGGCTCCACATCTCCAGGCCTGCCAGATGTGGATCCGAGCACGAGGGGTCGGAGGTTGGAGGATCGCGCCGCATCGCCGATGACATCGGGGATGCGGCTCGATGTGGAACCCTGGTTCTCCACGCCGACGTCGCCGACTCATCGCCAATGCATTGTCGATGCGTCGCTGATGCATCGGTGGTGCATCGACGATGTGGCGCGGTCCTTCGACCCCATGTCTCTGACGCCATCTGGGAGGGCTCTATTCTAGGATCGGCGCTGGAGCCCCCTGGCGGCGCCTCCAGCGCCACCCCTGGCGTGCTCCGCACGCAAGGGAGGGGGGTCCAGCGCTGATGCAAGAAATCCGCGCGTACCGCCGAAAGTTTATGTTCATGTCGTTGTTTCTTCCTCCACGTCCGACACAGACGTCCAGCTCATCAAGGCGGCGATGGGGCAGCTGAACCTCAAGCCGCCGGCGTGGGCTCAGCAGATCTCCGACCGCGACCTCCAGCGCATGATCAAGAAGGCGGTCGACGACGACCAGTCTCGCGGCGAGCAGCACGCGTGACCTGGCGTGCGCCCAGCCCCCTGCGAGCGGAGCAGGGGTCTCCCGCACCTCAGCCGAGGAGCGGGGCCTGGCCAGTGTGGGAGCGCCGCCTTGCGGCCCAAAGTCGGGGACGGCGGAGAGCCTCGGCGTTGGAGCGCTTACGGTCAGGAACTTTGACTTGGCGTGGCGCACCGCCGGTTTTGGGCCACCACGGTTCGGAGCGACACGCCAGCCATTTCCCATGCCCAAGCGTCAGCGTTCCGAGCTTTTCTCAATTTCCTGCCCCGTGGAGCGGAGCGACACGCTATCCGCTTGCAGGGCATAGCGTGTCGCTGGGGCTGACGGCGCGACACGCTGCGCAAGAGTTCGTGGCCGTCGTCCGTAATGTGGGACACCCGGAGATGTTCCGCCTTCAGCTCGTGGAGGAGGACGACGAAGAAGAGGAGAGGGAGGAGGAGGAGGGGGGAGAGGAGCATTGCGGAAAGTTGCGGCATGGGAGGGTGGCGCGGCCTCGAGAGAATTGGCCAGGGCCATGGGAAAGAGTGTGGGAAGCTATTCCCGCGCTGTGGTTGGCGCGGCCCTTCTCGCGGCCAGACGCCCTGGGAGCCAAAGCCAACGGCACACCCAGACCACAACCATGGGCTACAGCAGGACCGAAGTGTAAGATCGAGGTCGGTTCGGGGAGGGTATCCTCATTTTCTTCGTGGTTGTTGGATGTTTGTGTGCATCCTGGGTGAGGATCCCCGCGAATGCTCTTCAGTTTGGCCGGCGGATGGTCTTGTATTCTTAGAGGATCTTATTAGGTCCAAGGTCGGAGTGTATTGAGACGAGGAGAAGGATTGCGATGTTCCTTCGCTCTGAACTCTTCATGGGCCTCTGGAGGACCCACGGGACCCCTGGAGACTGCTGGGTGCCTGCTGAGACCTCCTGATCCTCCTCTTCTGGGGGTACTTGCCTGGTGCTGGAAGCGTAAAAGACTGCTCGGAATGGAGAGCTGTCCTGGGGAAGGGGTCGAGACCTCGGTGGTGTACAGAGCGAAAAAGCCGGGGAAACGTAAAACTCGAGCACGCCAGAACTCGGGCTTGCCGACGCTTTGTGACGAGCGCGTCCTGGATTTTGACGGTTCAATTGTTGTGGCATACTTGCGGAGGGCGCTCGCGTCAAATTTCAGACTGGGTCTCGTTATTTTCATGATTGCCCCGTCAGGCCAACCCGAGTCCACCGAACCAGAGTGTTACGTCTCTCTGAGAAAGAAACGACGTTGGGGTATGGGTCCTCCTCTTCCTCATCCTTCTCTCTTCCCGCTGGTGTTTGATGAGGCTAACGAGGGTTAGGCGTGCATTGCTCTGCAGAGAGGGGGACTTCCCCCCATGCAGTCATACACTTAGACACCCTCCCTCCTCCTCCTTCATCCTCCTCCCCATCCTCATCATTCCTGGGTGCATTCCCGACATAATTCCTAGGCGGACACAGCCGTGGCCACGAGGAGGCCCCCCCAGAACGATTAGAAGGGGAGGAGGAGGAGGAGGAGGAGGAGAAGGAGGAGGAGGAGGGGAAGGACATGTTTTGAGACGCTCTCGAGTTGTTCCTCAGGACATGTTTGTTTCATACTGGGCGTTTCCGAGAGCTGTGGCCCTGGAGCGGGCTTCTGGAGGCTCAGACCTCTGAGCAAATGTTGGTCGTCGCGATGTTACGCCGTGACGCTTGGCGGCTCATGCTTCCTCCTGCAAAAGCCATCCCCAGACTTGTTCCAGGGGCGCCCCAGGGAGCTCAGGATGGCCCGAGGAGGCCCAGAACATCCGTCCTCGACCGTCGAACCCGGACCACCGATGTCGTGTTTTTATCCCAACGTGGAGCCCCCCAAGCCTCCCTGGGACAAGCTTATCATCCAAGGTCGTTTTGTTGACGGCCCATGGGCCCGGCAAGGGTCTTCGTATGTCGAGAGTTGGCAACAGGGACGATGCTATTTGACGCGAGGGGTGATTTTGCTTCTCATATGCCTGATTCTCCTCCTCCTCCTCCTCTTTCTCCACCTCCTGCTCCTCGTACTCCTCTCGGAAGGACCACCCGTCGCTATGCCACCCTCTGGCGCACGCACGTACGATCGTCCGAACGGACGCATCCCCCCCCCCAGGTCTGCTTGTCGTTCCTGCTGGTCCCAAAGCCCGTCCTCAGCATCCGCGCCACCGCGGGCCAGCTGGTGGTTCTACAGGAGCAGCGAGTGGGTGGGGGAGGCGGGAGAGGAAGAGGCAGGAGCAGGAGAAGGACGAGAGAGGGGATTAAGAGGAGGAGCTTTCAACGAAGGCCGCAAGAATCCTCGCAAGCCTAGTGAGTGAATAAGGCCAGCAAGACGCAGACGATGTACGCCGCGAGCGAGCGGGCACGCTCGGAGTGAGCTTCCTTGCAAACTTCCTGGCAACAACGCTGGCCACGCGATATGCGCCGCAAGCGTGTGGGCACGCTCTGAGTGAGTTCTCCGGCAGGCTACCTGGCCACCCAGCAACAGTTCTGGCGGCACGATGTGCGCCGCAAGCGAGCGGGCGCGCACGTGAGGCTCACGGGAGGCGCATGGGAGTGGCACCTGAGAGCATTCTAGGCAAGCGCGCCACATTGGTATGACATCTAAGAACGTGTTGGGCGAGAGTCAGGTTTTGCAAACGGCAACCCTTCCATGAATCAATTCGTCGGCAATCTCAAGAGACAGTGTCACCAGTAAACTTGAACGTCAAATAAAAACCAGCTTTTGAAAACGGCCCGCCCTCCATCTTTGCAGTGAGCTCTCGGAAAATTCAAGATTCTGGGTTACATAGAATGCGAGGAAGTCTTAGGTGAAACGTCCAGACCGCCCTACCAACACGTCTGGTGGTGCGACGCGGAGGGATTGCTCATGAAGAAAGGGAAGTAGTTGGAGGAGCAGTCGCAGGAAGCAGGAAGAGGAGATGATTGTGGTTTCATGTGGGAACTTGAGTGCCACTCCAGATCCTGACCCCCAGAAGCCCGAAGAGGTCCACGGAGGGCTCCCAGTGGCCCCCCCGGAAGCCTCCCAAGGTCCCCGGATGCCCAAAACTCTCGATCCTCGGTCTTCGAATGTCGTGGGCTCAAAGCTGGCGGTCCTGCAGGATGAAGGGTCCTTGGCGCTGCTGACGCTGCAGGGCCTCTGGGAAGCCGCTGCCGCGGCGGCCGCGGCCGCCGCCGCGGCGGCCGCGGCGGTGGAGGCGCGTGCCGCCGCGCTCGCGGCGGGCCGCGAGGCAGTCGCCGAAGAGCCAGATCAGCTGGCGCCCGAGGCGGGCCGCGCTCGTGCGCTGCCATCGTCGTCGTCGTCGTCGTCGTCGTCGTCGTCGTCGTCGTCGTCGTCGTCGTCATCACTTTTCGACGGACCGCGCGGATTTCCTGGATTCGCGCTGGGCCCCCCTGGCGGCGCCTCGCGCCGCCCCGGGAGTGCTTTTCGCGCCAGGGGGGCCCAGCGCAGATCCACGAAATCCGCGCCTACCGTCGAAATATTCTATGCATGCCCATTTGTTCTTCCTCAATGCCGGAGGTGCCTTTGCCCTCCCGCTTGGCTCGTCGCTCCCCCTTCCGTGGCTGCCGTATTCCTGTCTGCCGCCGCCTCTCGTTCCACTCTTCTCGCCTTCGTTCGCACGCCTGAGCACCGCTGGCCCACCGCCGAGCAGAGCTCGCGGCCGCCGAGGGCAATCGTGCGGTTCCGTCGGTGGCCCTGGGCCAAGGGTCAGAGGAGGAAAAGGTACCCGTGCCGCTGCCCGCTACCCTGGCCTCGTTTTCTTCTGCTTGGGCCGTCTGGGAGGCCCTAGTCGCTACCGCTGGATTCGCTTCGACATCCTGGTCAGAACGCACCCCAGGAGAGGTCTGGGGAGTAGCGGTATCAGTATTTGCTGGTTTCCCCAAAATGTGGCCCATTTGTCCAGGGAGGCCACGGTACCCTCCAGAGCCCCCCTCGTGAGGCCCAGAGGGGCCCAGGGGGGTGTCCACGATCTGGCGAAATAGCCTGGGGGCCTTCGGTAGCAAGTCCCTCGCAGTACTGCCTTCAGAGTGCATAAGCGTGCGCTAGCGTCTTGTAGTCGATAAAATATCGCCGATGCAGCTTCGATGTCGCATCGATTAACGTCGATAAGCGTCAACCAGCGTCAGTTAGCGTCGAGTGCCAAGAGCCAGCAAGATGGCATGAGAGGCTCCCACGAGTTGCCACCGAAGGGGACCCGTGGACTGGAACCACCTCAGACAAGCTCGGGTATACGTCTTACAGGGCTGTCGGGTTGCCTGGCTGCCGAAGGATGGAGGTTTTTGAGCGTTTTGGACTTTGGGCTTAGTCTTCAGGAACCTTCCCAGAGAGGCCCCTTGGGATCTTTGGAATCGTCCTCTTGACATTCTCTTTTCCGCAATACATGAATTCTTATCAAAAGCGCTGCAGCATCAAAGATATTGCTCTCGCCCTCTTTCGGCATCCAGGGGGCCGTTCCCAAACCCCGCGGTCGTGAGCAAAACAAGCATTATGGACGGGGGGGCCTAGGCGCTACGCGGTCAAGCACACAGCAACGGAAGTCCAGCGTCTCTGCTCATCAGGGCGTGTCCATCCTCTCGGCTTGGCGTTTTGCTCCCCGTATCGGGGGCGAGGCATGGCCTGCTCGGGGCGTCGTTCAGAATGGCACACACCCGTGGTTTGCCAGGGCTGCTCGTGGCACGTTGCGTTTGCTTGCCGTCTGTCCTCTGCCCTCCCATCCTCCTCCTCCTCCTCCTCCTCCTCCTCCTCCTCCTCCTCCGTAGCCACTGTGGCTCAATATGATGTTTTCTTCAGGGGGAAAGTGGATACCGCTAGTCCGCGGCAGGCAACATGTCCTGACGTCTGGCAGGATTTTTTCCCTCGCGCACCCTGCGCTCGGGGCGGTGGGTAAACGGAGGTGTTTCCCGTTCCTGCTGCCCCAAGCGCACCGGGACTCATGCCCAATGGTGTCGCCCCTGCTGTCAAGCGCGCGAAGGGGCCCAAGAAGAAACCCAAAGCGGCTCGTGGACAGTCTGGCGCTCCCGTGGATCGTGACAGCGTGGGTGATGCTGCAAGGGGCTCTTCTGTGCATTCAAATGCTGGTGATTATGGTGATGTTCCCGCTGAAGGCGATCCTTCTGCTGTCCAGGCCGAGATGCTTGACAGTGACGGGGAGTGGGCCAAAGACGACTACATCAAGCAGCTCGCTGGAGATTTCATCTCGAAGAAGATGGCGGAGCACCGCGGCGAGCTCGTCCGCGACCTCACCGCCGTCGTTTCCGCAATTGTGTCTGACCAGGCCAAGGATGTCACATTTCAGCTTGGTGACCATGCTGCTGTTAGCAATTTGGTTGAAGGTTTTCAACAGCTCCCGCACGTGGCGCGCGAAGCCTCTGAACGTCTTTGCACCGACAAGCTTGACGCATACCAGCGGAAGTTTCAGGA